AGCAAAACAGAAAATAAGTTTTCTTTGAAAACGCATTAAAGCATACAGAGCAAGTATTAAAAAGTAAAAATTCTGAATGGTCTAGGTAATGGTAAATTCTGAATAGTTCGGTAAAATCAGATTTGTAGCACCTGGACCAAAAAGTAGACAAAATGACCCTAAAACACATCTACCAAAAAGTCCCCTCAGTGCTGAGTGATAAACAAGAGATGTTTTGGCTGAGCAAATCTACTGTTTTATTCACCCGTGGAAAACATTCTGCAGCACTGAAAACTCTTTGACCTATCTTGTTCACGACCTTCATCTTCACTGAATTCCTGAATCTGTGATATATTTATGAAGGGCACCAAATCTTTTAATAGTCACTAATTTTTCCTTCTTCTTGTAAGACAGCATTCTCAGATGAATCAATATTAAAATAATACTTTGAACAGTAATTATTATGAAATTTGTCTCCACACATTGATCATGATGGGTAGGTTACGGGTATATGTATCACCATTTGCAAACATTTATTGAAACCCACTGTGATGTATTAGCTGAGGCTCACAGATTTTCTGAAATAGGCAATTCAAGGTAATGAGGGAAAGTGATTTCTTGTTCATGCTGGGACTGGTGATACCCATCTGTGGAACAGTAAGAAAGCTTGCGTGTTATGCACTTACTCCATGCCAGTTACTATTTAAGTACTTTACTTGCATTAACCTATTTAATCATCACAACAACTGTGGGATATGTGCTATTATGGTCACTTGAGAGAGAAGTAATTGACAGAGAGGCTCAACTGTGAAAGCCACACAGCTATAACACGGCAGAGCTGGGGTTCAATTCAGGAAATTGACTCCAGAATCTGCACTCAAACCCATCCACCATCCTGTATACCCCGTGGCAAAAGCAAGAATTGAGTTTCCTATTTAAACAGTACAAATTCCTGCTAAATTATGAAAGGTTCTATAATTTAGCTTAATTTTAAGTATTAATACAAAGTTAATCACCTGCATTATGCCCTGAAATTTACAGAAATATCTAATAATATTTTTTTCTGCAAAAGCACTAGCATCTTTTAAAGCTATATGTTCACTATGCACATTAATCTCTACATACCCACACAACCTGTGACCCATCCAGAGAGAGAGTAGGCTCGAAACGTGGATGTCAGAGCCCCACAGCAAGGGGTCAAATGCCAGTTCTGCCAGTCATTAGATCAATGGCTTATAGCAGGTAACTAGACCTCTCTTAGTCTTCGTTTTCTCATATTTAAAATGGGATGAAAACAGTATGCATCTCGTAAGATTAAGTTAACCTGCCGATGTAGAAGAATTTAGTTTAATACCCACCATGTTCTGAATACACAGTCAACGTTGGCTGTGGTGGTTGTCAGTGTTGATATTCCCATAATGTGCTCCACCTTAGCTGGCATGGCAAGGGCATTGGAGTTGCCATAGGGCAGAGTAAGAGGTTTCTTTTCAATCGATGCAGCTTCCGTCTATCATAATGAATGACCCTTCTTTAATCATCTTCAAATTTCAAGGGACTTCACCCAGTTTATTTTTGTCACTGCTATTTCCAATAACTGTCTACCTCTTTATTTGTATCACACTCTTATTTAAGGAGTGGTTTTGTTTTGAGGGAATCTAGCAGGAATGTGACTAATGAGATCATCTGGTAAGAAAATCCCATCTTAGTGACTGTGATGTGGAGAAACCTATTGTGAGCAGTCCACAGACAATTCAACGCTAATTCAGAATGTGAAAGTAGAACTTACGGTGGCGGTTATAATGAAGTATTTGAAAGTGTGCATCTGTACAGTGATGTTTCATAGTTACAAAACAACCATATAAATGTATTTTGATGGTTTGGTAATGATATAGATGCTTCTGTTTTTATTTCTTTTAATTGTGGTCAGGTGGGTGGGAGAAACTGCATCGAGATTATCATCTGGTTTCCTGAATTGAGTTCTCATTATTTTAAAGGAAATACTTTTCTGGACAAATAGTTTTGAGGTTCAGGATAGGCTATCACTTGCTGAGGCTTTGTGTATAAAATATCAAAGAATTTGTGGACTGTTTGAAGTTTTGCCTGTAACATAGAATTTGTCATTAGAGTCTTAAGTTACTTGGTGAATATTAGTTCCCTATTGGTATAGCATATACTACTATTCCTGAACATGTTTAAGAAATATATATATATATATATATATATATATATATATTTACATTAGGATGATAGTTAAATGAATCATTGTCCACCTAAATTGCAAAAGTCAAAAAGCAGATTCATTCTCAATTTTCTCTTCTCTTCATTATTTTCGGTCAATTATCCAGGATGGTTATTTTATTTTATATATTTATCTTGAAATTTCCTTTTCCTTAGTATTCTTTCTGGCCTAGTTTTGTTGAAGATTCAGACACTCTTGCATGTAGGAGCTGGATGAAATTATAACTGATAAAAGCAGAACTCCCTGAAAGTAATAGTGAGTTGTGGAATCCTGGCAAACTGGAGACCAGATGCTCTCAATGGGGTACAGTCAGTAATCAGCTGAAGAGGATGTTTGAAACTTGTCCAGCATTTGGGCCAAAAACATATATATGACAAATATATGTAGCACATGGACTGCCAATGCGTCACCTTTATTGTACACTCTCATCACTTTTCTTCTGCATTGTGGCAGTGGCTCCTGACTTCAGCTATATCTATGTCCAACCCATCCTCTATACTGGCACCAACTGATGTTTCCAAGACTCCGACGATGGTTGTGCCACTTTCCTTTTTCAAACAATGACTACATCACCACACTGAATACTGCATAAAATGCAAAGTCCAAATTCTCTACCATGACATAGAAGGGGCCTTTCTTGGATTTAACCTCTTCTTATTTTATCAGTCTCCCCACTCCCCACTTCCCCTCCTTTATCCATAAGGCTTTAGAAATACCGAATTACACACTTTTATCCAGGTACACCATGCTGGTGATACCCCTGTGCTTGTTCTCTCTAACTGCAATTTTCTCCTCACCTTGTCCAAATGGTGGCCATCATTCAAACCTTAGTTATGCCTCAGTCCCTCTCTGAAGTCTCCCCTCTCATGCACACATGCTGGTTATGCTACAAACGGTCCTCAAAATACAGCTGTCCCCAAATGCTTACATATATCACACCAATGTGCTCAAGTCTGTATTCCATATCTGCCCACTTCATTAATTAGCTTCTGTCCTCCTTTAGTTCCTAGACCTTCTCTCTTTTTTGTTTTTCTGGTTTCTAGCACAGTACCTGTACATAGTACGTGTTCTATAATTGTGTGGATCTGAGTATCAACTTGTTGCTAACATGCTTTCCACATTCTTATATGAAGGTGGTAAGAAAGAGAAAGAAGAATGTTTTTGTGGACTTTTTCTTAAAGGGACAAAATTATTGAAAACACTTTATCTTCATGGCAATAAGTCTACTTTTTGATCCGTTAAGTTATACAAGGGCTATATGTTTCCAGACTCACTTTATTCAAGGAAATTCCAATTTGGTGTGATCAAACAGAAAATACAGTTTAGGAAAGTGGGAAAAAACCTCATAAATCCCAGTCGTGGGTTGATTTCTGAAAACACCAATACATATGGTGTCACCCAACTGCTGACTGATTGGACCATATCAGGCAGTATCTCCACTGCTCGGGTTTAATGGGCATTTATATAGTATTTGGCTCATGATGATGTTTGAAGCAATCTTCTCTTTACAGTACACTGGGTATACGGTTCATTATTTTTTGACCTGTGTGATTTATGTGTCTGTTTTCCACAGCTCTTGTTTTGATATCAGCAACCATTAATCCTTCAAATCCTGCAGTTGTAATGTTAACTGCCAACAGCATTGATTTGCAATTGGTTTGAGAGTATGCTTCAACCATTTTACAATAATTCCGATTTGTTTTTGAATGACAACTTTTTTCCCACTGAAATCCTCAGATATAGAATTTCCCATAACTCTTCAATAAAAATAGGTTCACTTGAACAAAATATGTTTACCCTAATCTAGGCCTCTGAGTTCATTTCCTTGGTTTTATATAAACCTTTTTGTTAAGGCTAGTGTTTAATGACTTTTAGGTTCTGCTGGAATACAATTAATAATTATTGCTTCTATGGATTACTTTTAAAAATTTGTGTACATTCTAATATATATGTTATATATACATAGATAATATACATATATGTAACATGTATGTATATGTACATATAGATATACATGCATGTGTGTGCCTATACTGGGGCAAGAGCCAGCTATATCTCTGTTAGCGATTAGCAGTTCATTTTATTTTTAATTACCCTATATGTTTTATGAAGAAAACATATTAAAGGCTAATTTGAGGGTCATTACAAACTACGTAATTTCACTTGTGGGTTTTTATAATGACTGCTAATGTCATTCAAAATCATTTTTTAAATTAGGGCTTTTAATGCCCCTAGGGTATGCTTCATTTTTTGCATAATTAATAATAATAATATAATTCTTCAGCCTTGATAGAATCTATGGTGGTGATTTTGACACCATGAAACCATCATGTGAAATACTTTTTAAAATTGTGCATAGATGTATTTGTTTGGAGCAAGCACGTAGGGAGAAGACGATACAAAGCAGAAGTTATTGAGAAGAAAATAGTTAGGAACGTGTGGGTCAGTCTGAGTGGATGCCAGCTTATCTACTAGGACACGTGCACACCTCACTGATGAAAGGGTCTGCTAAAGAATATCAAGTCTCCTGAAAAAATCATCTAACATTTAGCTCATGTGCAGGTCACGCATCCTTCTTTATAGAACTTTAGGGGGAAAAGGCCAAAAGCTGTTTGTGGTTTGCTTTTTAATCCCAGGTTTCCCTAATTTTGAAAACATTCCAGGATTCTGACTTCAGTTAGAGGAATCAAACACTTTCAACTGAGCGCTTAGAAACTCCTTTTTAGACACAGGCAAGCCTAGGCATTAGCTGACTTCCGTTGGGGAACTCGGTGTTTTTCAGGGAATGATGTACCTGGAAGAAAGGCGGCTCGTTCATCGGGACTTGGCAGCCCGTAATGTCTTAGTGAAATCTCCAAACCATGTGAAAATCACAGATTTTGGACTAGCCAGACTCTTGGAAGGAGACGAAAAAGAGTATAACGCTGACGGAGGAAAGGTGAGTATCTTTTTGAGAGCAATATTGCTGGAAAATATAGTATAATATCCTTTTATCTTTTTATATGTTATAGGAAGAAGCCAATAAGCCTGAGGTTTAAGAAATGATAAAGTCCCAGTTCTACCATTTGCCTTCTCTCCTGCGCAGGGTAAAAAATGTATATATAGAATAAATTACTAAATTTCATTTCTGAGAAGTAGCTAAAATAAGACAGTGTGTGACTGGATCCACATGGTCCCTTATGTCAGGTCCAGTGTTGGGAAGTGGGTGGATCCATAGGAACTCTAGAAATTACACTTCCATCCAGGGCCATAGAAATTGTTTCATTGATCTAAGAACATAGGACTGACTATTACAGAGAGACACAACTTCTCTCTCGTAGACTAGAGAGAAGTTTGGCTACTACCAAGAACCATAACTCATTGGAAAATTGGTCATCCTATTTAACTTCTAATCCTCCCATACCAGATACAACAGATTCTTCTTACCTGGCTCTATTTTTTCAGTTTTTATCATAGTGTATGATTTCCCAGTTTACTTTATTTATTGTCTGACTGTCTCCACTAGAATGTAAGCTACTATATCCTAGACATCTGAACAGTGGCACTGGCTCTTCTCCGTTTTCTGACTCTCCTGTGTTCCTGCCTCTCTCAAGGACCATATGGTCTCAGTCTATGCCTTAGTTCCAGCTCTTATCTTTCCTCATTAACCCACAGTTTAGCTTGTCGTCTTTGGCGAACCAACGAAGATATCTCCACTTCATGTGGCGGTCCCTCTAGCTAGACCTGGGAAGACTTAGATCAGAAGAGGCCAAATGAAATAAGCAAATGAAACCTTAACCTACGGTGACCTATAAGCTTATGCTAACAAAAGAAGTTGTTCATATGTCATAAAAATATGTTTATGATGAGCCTTGTTCATGTGGGCTGTCCTAATATATATTATAAATATTTTGCAATGATATGTTTCCAAATGCTTATCATTGATTTTTACCCTAAACTGTTATATAACTATATATATTCAAATCTTATCAGAAGGCAAAGGGACACAAAATTTATTTTTTAAAAAACTCCAGTTTTATAGTGTTATCTGTTTTTTCCTTGATTTTTATTGGCCTATTTTGCCTATTTACTACAAAATTGCAACAGTTTGAGACCACAGTTTTGAAATTCATTACAAGATTGCACAGAAGTAGAAGTCTATAAATCACATGACTTCACTTGTCTTGAGAACACGCAGCTGTAAGATTTGTCTAAAGCAAGATTCATTACAGCTTTGAATGCCTAGTAACCATTAAGTCTTTATCAAGCCACCTGTGATTTAAAACTACTTCTTTACCACAAAGTCCGTAGTCCATAAAGTCGGCTAACTCTTTGCCCATGGGGAAATTGCTTTCAATGTGTCTCTGTTCCCTCTCACTGAATACCATGATTCTGTCATGGAGTTACCTTGGCGTCACCTTGGTGAGCAGCCAACCTCATGATTTCAAAGACCGATTTCATTTTAAGCTTTCAACTGCAAAGTGGAAGTGTTTATCTTTATTCCATAGAATCTAATTATGTCCCAGCTGTATAATGCTGTCCTTCGTAGCTGAAACTCATTCTGCTGACCCACCATCAGCAGGCTGTGAGTTGAGTTGTTTTTCTTGTAGTGACGGTGGGTTTGTACTGATCCTCTCACATTCTTTCATATAATTCCTATTTTGAAAATGGTACATATTTTCAATACTGACTAACCAAGATGAGGGAGGTCATTTGTGGCTGGGGGACAAAGCAAGGCTAACTTCGGAATTCATTATTTTAGGTTTTTAGTGATCAAATTATATGAGAGGAGAAGGAAGGGGCAAGTGTAGAAAGGGTCCATTGTACCAGTGGCCTGAAATTTGTCTAAGAGTGAAAGGGATGACTGAAAATATAAGGAATCTCATACTCTGGGAAAAAATATAATATGACCACATTTTTACAAGTGCATTGTTAGATGTTTAGAATTGATATTATGAATCATAATATTAGCTAGTAACTTAATTATCAACATTGACTAAGAACTATAGCAAGTGATACTTATTGCTTTATTTTTCATTATTTATGAAACTTTTAAAAAATAAATATATCTTTAGGTTAATTCACTTTATAAATTTTAAATATTCAATTCATTTGTTCCTGTATTAAAAAATAACATTTGTATTTATATTTATTTTATATTTACACACACAATTGAAAAATACAATTTAGATGAATCTGGAGACCCACATTTAGGAAATAAATGTAAAAAATGACGTTTTATATAACTGTAAAACTTTCACTTCTTATTTCTCTGTAGATGCCAATTAAGTGGATGGCTCTGGAGTGTATACACTATAGGAAATTCACCCACCAGAGTGATGTTTGGAGCTATGGTAAATAAATCTTCCTTGTGAATTAAGGCTTTAAAGGCAAAGATAAATATATTAAGTTCATGTAAAACATCATGAGCCAAATTACTTTATTGTGTTGGAAATACCTATTTATAAGTTTTCTTTCCTCAAGAAACAAACTCTTTGCTCTTCCATTAAAAAAACAAAACTCTAAACATTATTGTTACCTGCCTTTTTTTGTTATTTTTGGGGTCTTTAGAAAGTAATACATTGATATCTCTGTTGAGTTGTCTGCCATAACCTTTGGGTTGGTAGCAATTTGTCTGATCGTTTTGACAGGACAAAAAAGAACCACCAATTTTAGTTTAGGGATAATTTTATAGAATCTCATGGCCTTAATTTTCAACAACTCTTTGATAACATAACTCTGCATGCAATGAATGTTAAAATTTTTTTTAAAAAGCTTTTTTTTTTGCATATGGGAATTTCTGTTTTATAGTATGAAAATAACGATTATTGTTACAACAAAGAACATTACTAAAAGCAGTAGGTGAGAAGAACAAATGTGACATAAGAGAAAGGACTGTTAACTGCAGCTTTGATTCTAATTTCCAAACCAATTTTGGGGTCAACAGATATATTGTAGGGTGAATAATATGAACTGGAAAATTTTGTGATTTTAAAAATTAGAACATTTATTTAACTGCATTTAACTCAGTTGTTGAGATGAGCTACTTAGCATCTATCTAACTATTTACAACTTAAGTCCATCCAGGTATTAGTAAGAGGGAATCAACACCTTTTCTAAGCTTAAAATATATCATCTAAAAGTAGCATTTCTTACAAATAAAAAGCGCAATATCCATTTAAGTAAAAAGGTGGTGGTGAGACATAAAAAGCACAGTACAATTTATTCTACTCAAATTTAAGCTTAGTTTTATATATACAATTTTTCTTTTTAGAAAAAAGAATTAAGCTATTTCATCACTAGACAATGTATGCCTCTTATCTAGAAAAGCATAAATTATCTTTAAAAAAAGTTGAGACATTTCTATAAAGTGTTTTTTCCCGTCACACGTGTATGTCATAGGAGGTGTTAACATTTCCATGAAGGCTTCATGTATTCTACTCAGATTAAAAGTAGAAAGTGTGTGTTAGACAAGTACAGGGAACTGCTTGACAAAACTTAGTTATTACACTGTAAGGACTAAATAGAAAAACTATATAAAAATCTCTCTATATGATAGATTTATATGTTACACATTAGCAGATAGATAAGCACTTATATATTACATAATATAGATTAACATATGTTGTATAATATAAATAGATTTATAATTATATTTTGTATGATATATTTATATATTATCATATATAATTTTTTCTCTTTTTTTCTTCTTATATTTCCCTGAATTAAATGTGGCAATCTACTGCGTGCAAATTTTAAATGACCTCTAAAACAAGTTAAAAAAATATATGTAAATGTTGGCAGGGCAATCACATTTTTAATAGTAAAATTTATCTTTGGGGGAAAATCCTGTCACTCAGGCTGTAATGTTTATCTTCATGCTGAGTTACAAGATCTCTTAGGAGCTATTCAGTAAAAAGAGAGAGAGAGAGAGATAGACAGACAGCACTCTGTTTTGAAGCATAGACCAGGTCATCAATCCATATTCACAAGGCATTTTAAGATTTTTACAATATATCATAGTTGCTTGCAAAAGGCATATAAGGCAGGGAAAGATACATAATCTTGTTTATAGTGCACCTTTGTGGAAAATTGTCACTGGGTATGTCTTTATTTTCATAAAAATAAATATCCATCAGCTATGGTTTATATCTTCAAATGATAGAATTGTATTGTATGTTTTGAGGATGTTTCTGATTTAGTTTTCTTGAGATTGTCCTTCTACACAAAACCGTCTCTTTTTAAGCCTATTCTGTCATCATTCCTGAAAAATATAATTAGACTATTATTGGCAAGAGTGGGAACTTTGATAAAACAAAAGGAGAAAAGTTTTTGTGTTTAGATGTTTATTTTTATTATATTTTCTACTATTTTTATTTTCAATTGCTTCGCATTTTGCTTATATTAGAAGTTCCGATAGAGATATGAGAGCATCTATTTTGTCTTAATAAAATGTTCTCATTAAATACATATTCTATACCTGTGACTGACTGAATAGAAACGGACAGTCATCCACTTCTTAGCTTATTCCAGCCTGCCTCATGGACACTAAGTTTAAATTATTGGTTCTATGGAGTCATTCTCTAATATGCAAAATTAATAAAGATCAAATAGTTAAATTGTGTCATAGTTACATGTTTACATTGTATCTAAAAATCATAAGATGTAAATATCAATAAAAAATGAGGTAGTTAATGATTCTATTATGAAAGATAATTTGAAGTTCACATATACATTTGTATTTTAAGCTTCATATTTTTATCAATCAATGAGAACTGTTATGGATTAAAGTAAACTTACGTTTGAATAAATAATTCATTACAGATGGCAGTGGAAAAGAAAACATAGCACTCATAAACGGATTTTATATTAAAAGATACCTATATATATATGCATTAGTCAAAATTCACTTAGTAATACTATTTTGCCCAGATGGCTATTTTTGAACTTACAATCTTCATACTTAAGAAAAATGCAACTTTTTAACTGCATAATTATTAGATCATAAAGAATAGATTTGTAGTGTATATATTATTGCTCACGTCAGAATCATTATTATTATCAAAGCTGGCTATTTACATGCTAATATTTAGGGTTATTTGCCTTTACAGAGGAAATCAGTATTCTGATGATTCAAGAAGGTCACTTCATTGTCTAAGGAATAAACTATTATTGATTCTCTTCAATGTCATTATGCTCACTTCATATTTATTGTATCGTATGTATGGATCGTTTGTCACTCAGGCTCTCATATGGGCTAAAGAAATGAATCTGTTTTGCTCCACTTGTTCTCTTTGTGTTAGTTAAAAAAAAAAGCCACAATTATCTACCATAACATAAGGCAATCATTCTGGAACCCCAGCTCAGCCTTCAGCGCTTTTAATAGAGAAAATGTTAATCAAAATTAGTCAATATCAGATTTTACCTGTGATCATATTTACTTGGTACTGAATATACGTGTATATGGTGAATATATTGTTTTATGGGCTCTAATGTGGTGTAGTGAAACTTTACTTGGGTGAGCAAGCATTAGTATTACTTATACGTAGAAATGGGGGAACAGATTCTGTATTCTGATGTCCACTCTGAATTGGCTCTGCTACCCATTAAAAATTTCAAGACAGTAATAAGAGAACTGAATTTCCCACAAGGATTTGGGCATTGGGCTTCTCATAATGGACATAGGAATCTGAAGAGCCTTTCTTTGGATTCTTTTTGATTGCCCTCTAGGCAGTGTTTCTTTTTCCACTGACATATTGCTGGGTTGTTCAAAGGATGTTGTTAGATATGCTTATGTAGGAATTTGATCTCCAATTTAGGAGTCACTATTTGGGAACTGATGACCTTTGGAGGAAAACCCTACGATGGAATTCCAACCCGAGAAATCCCTGATTTATTAGAGAAAGGAGAACGTTTGCCCCAGCCTCCCATCTGCACTATTGATGTCTACATGGTCATGGTCAAATGTAAGATTGCAAAATAAATTTATCATCACTGTCATCATTCTTAGTAAAATAATACTGCAGATTGACTGCATAATGTTGCTGTGTATTGAAAAATATAAACATTCAAGATAATTACGAAAGGAGCATGTCAAAACATGTTTTTATTATGAATATTAACGTAAAGCAATATCATGCTTGCACGCTATAATGTCAAAATTATATGACTCTTACTCTTCTTAGTCATGTCACTTTCATTCTCATTTCCATGACAGTCAAATTGTCTGTCATAAAGACAAAATGTAATTAGTCACAATAATGTTAGTAATCTTTATGGGAAAATCACAGACTAAATAAATGATCTAAATAGAAAGAAAGCTTGAAACTGATAGTTCAAAAAATGAATTAAATGGAAATAGGTTTACCAGTTTTAGTCAACAGGAAATTAGCAGGGCAGAGTGGGAAATGGGAAGAAATGAGTCTACATTGAACTAAAAACATTATGAATGTTGACTTTTATTCAATTTGATCATTTGTTTACATCTAACTATTACCTTTTCTCCGTTCTATGCCCCAGACACATATGTATTATAAATGTGTTTTGGAAGCCTAGGCTCTTAATTTAAATAGAATTAGGGAAGTCTCTTGAGTTTCTGACTTAATTTAAGTGAGATTAACGTTCAGCAATCTTTCTTGTGTAATCTGGGGTTTTCCCCTTTTGATTTACACAGAGTTAGCACAGAAACAAACTGGTGAAGGTGAAAAAGCAACTTATTAATAAGAGACTTTGGACCCAGGTCTGCTCAGATTTATATTCATGACATGTGTGATACATTCTGACAGTGAGAGAAGGAATAAAAAATGTGCTTTCCAGTTCAGGTCAGCATGCCCTTTCCTCTAAGCATAGTTTTATTTACTCAATATTTAGTTAGAAAGAAACTGATACCTCACTGCGAAGTTAACCTTTTTCAGTTTCAATAGTTCCAGAAACACCTATTTTCTCATTAGCATCTTGGCATCAATAGCATTTTTTCTTTTAAGTAGATGCTTACAGAATATAGAGCATTTGAGCTTTGTCAAAAGAGAAACAATTCAGGTGACATTAATGATGTATAAAATAACACCCCAAAACATCCCAGAACAAGAATAAAAACTGAACTCCCAAAAAAGAAGAAACAAGCTTTATAGCTTTTATAGCTGAATATAGTATATTACATTTAGTTATGAATATCAACAAAGTGAGATACAGCCTCCCTTATTGTATTGTTTCTTTCATTAGCTTTCTTTGTTTTTCCGATCGTTATTATTAAAATACATTTTCAGAACTTAGCCTATATTTTCATGAAATTTACATCTCACGTCTTCTCCTAATTGTGGATATACTGACTCTTTCATTGTGTGTGAATTTCTAGGTTGGATGATTGATGCTGACAGTAGACCTAAATTTAAAGAACTGGCCGCTGAATTTTCGAGGATGGCTCGAGACCCTCAGAGATATCTAGTTATTCAGGTTGGTACATTTGACTTAGATTTTTAAGAATATCTCAATGGGAAGCTCACTACAAAATATGAATAATATCTGGACTTTGGAACTGTGGGAATCACCACTCTCAAGTCAATTAACTAAGCAGAACATCATGTGAAATGACTTATGGAAAGAGCCTTTTACTTGATGTCAGAACCACCTCTAAGCATCTTCCCTTGGTACTCGTGCCTCTGCTGTTGAACAACTAGGTAATTATGATTACCCAGATACATAACAAGGCCTTCATCCTCAGACAAGCCTTCTAGCACTCTGCTTTTTATTAACTTTAAATGGAAGTCATGTTCATTATTATAATCCTCCCTTTTCAGACTAAATCAAAGATGGATTTTTGTTTTAATCTTGCCGATGTCTGAAGAGAATGAATTAAAAGTATCAATATATTGACATTTAACTTCCTAGAAAAATGTTTTTCCATATGTTTTGTTTTGGGAGGTATTCAATATTCAAGCAATGAGTTAGATTCAAACTATTATATATCCGCATGTACATATGTAGATATGAATTATATGTACATATGAATCAAATAACAGGTCAAAAGAACATTTTTACCTTTAGCACTAGAAAAAGTGGATTGGATAATGTAAAAATTGTAATATATTTCTCTATGATTATTCTTACCTAAACCATAAACAAATGAACCTTGTATTGCACTGAGCTAATTTTCCTCAATAAAACAAGGTAGCCTTTATCTTCATATCAATGGTCTGGTATGCAGATAAAAGCCAGGTTTTAAAAGATAATGATTTCCAGCTGGCCTTTTCCCAAATTAATTTTCATGAACAAATTATTTACAAAAGTATCACATAACTTTGAAAAAATAAAAATATATATATGATAAATAGGTGAGGTAAGAAAGAGTATAATAAGCATTTTGGCACTTGCACTGTGATTTCGAACGCTATCACTTTAACAATTTTGTGCTATAGAACAAATCAGGGAGCCTATGCATCCTGATAACTCTACACTATCAAACCAGTGGAATAAAATAAAGATTGATAAGTCAATTGCCCTTTATTATTTACTCTTAAAGTCACAGCCCAAATGCCATCTTGCAATAAAGCTTACCATTATTCTCAGATCTGAAATGGATTACACCAAAACAGCATAGCATTCTGCTTTATTCATCTCTAATGGCATTTACCACATTTTTCTTGTATTAAATTTGTTTATCTTACCCTGTCATATCTAAATATGTTAAAGTCTTCTTTATGCCTGGTAGTTGTGCTAAAGGATTATTTTTTTAAATGTGTACATGAATTTTCCACCATTTATTTTGACACGACATAAATTTGCTGCAAAGACCACAAATTTAGATGAAGGAAGAATCACTTTTGTCTGTGTCTGATGGGCAATCCTCTAGGGTGATGATCGTATGAAACTTCCCAGTCCAAACGACAGCAAGTTCTTTCAGAATCTCTTGGATGAAGAGGATTTAGAGGATATGATGGATGCTGAGGAATACCTGGTCCCTCAGGCTTTCAACATCCCACCTCCCATCTATACTTCCAGAGCAAGAATTGACTCAAATAGGGTAAGAAGTAATTATATACCACTTCTTATATTACCTATGAGAAACAGAATCATGTAAATATATTATAAGCACTAAAATTATGAAATAATTATCTAGCACAAATCAGTGTGACTCCTAGATTAAAAACATACCATACCAACAAAAGATATGACAAGTTTGCCATATGTAGTTAATTTTGGAAGACAAGCATGGGCAATACAATATTCACTCTGAAACATCCCCAAGATTTCCAAAGGAGATAAGCTTTTTTGTCTTAAATGAGGTAAGCCTTAATTTTTAAAAATCTGCAACAAATTCCAACTAATAAAACTGTACATGTTTATAAGTAAATGAAAATTCTTACCAAAATAGGCTTTCTACTTTTCTTTCTTAATAAGATGATATGACTTATTAGTCAAGAAGTAATACAAGTACAGCTCTCTTCGTTCACTTAGAAGACGTTAAATATTTTCTGTCAAGTTGAAGTAGAAACAGAAAACTGCGCAATCCTTGAACTAAATCAATCACATTCGGTGGACTGCTGAATTGTTTCTAAGATATAGATTTAAGTTTTGAAAGAAGCTTCTGAAAAGAATTTACATTTCATTTTAAATATTAAGCCCACTCTATATGAATACCATTCTTTCTCTGAAAACTGTCAATCCGTGTGTTCATTCATTTATTTTTAAAAATTCATTCATCGTTCTTTCAGTATGTATTGAGTACCTCTGCCTGTGAGGCATTATTAGACACTTGAGAGTCAAAGAATTTTGACATAAATCCTGCCTTCAAGAAATGCCCAGGTTAATGAAAGAGTCACACAGATATAGAGACAGACCACAGCATGATAATTGTTATAATCAAGTGTTCATTGGCCAGTATGGAGAAGCAGTAAAATAATGTTTGGAATCAATTTCTCCCATTGATAAGACATAAACACCATGCTTAATTTCTTCTAGAAGGCAATTCTTTTCTCTTACTCGCCTTCTCCATCTGAGAACATCACCATAGCTAGCGGAACAAATAGCATCCTATTTGTCTTGATCATGAGCATAAGAAAACTTTCAAGTTGCTGCTCATTCTCTAAAAATCAAGTTATTTGCTGTATTTCAGATTGACAGCAATAAGAAAATAATGCTCACCTAGAGTTTACCATGTATCAACACATATATATAGTCTCTTAATCCTTACAGCAATCCCATGATTATTATCTCCACCTTACAAATGAAGAAACTTGTCACAGAGTTAAATGATTTGGCTGGTGTCACACAGTTAGCCAGTGGAAGAGCAGAATTCTAACGTAAGCAGTTGCCTCTACCACACATACTGTTGCTTCAAAGTTATTGGAACATGTTATTTTCATGCTATGGTTGTTTTTCTTGGAATCAACCTCAGTGTCTGAGATACATGTGGTTTGAGAAATTTCCCAAGAGATTTTCTTATAAAATGCATGCCCCAGCCTGTCCTATGCCTTTTGCCCATCCACCCCCATCAGGAGGGTCTGAGACAGAAAGAGGCAAAGACGGAGACCTCAATTAATTTTTGTTTTCTATGAAAAATATGTCTTGCAGCCCAACGGGGAGGAGATATAAGTAAAAGTCTTAAAAATGAAACCAACTAATAGATATTGAACATCAGCCTTTTCTTTATGGGAAGGAACGAAGTCTAAGATGTGTAAAGGAGGTGTTTTTTTCTCTGTACACTTAGTGAAATGGTCAAATTATAACTTTGGTATTTATATTTTTTTGTGCCAAATATTACTTTCATTAAAACAGGGAAATGTCAAGAAAATAGTTTTTCTTCCTTAACATGAAATGTTATAAAGGCCAGGAGCTTGAATCTTTTCTTTTCATAAGGATCCTCAAATTCTAACTTTCTGTTTATTTTAGTTTATGCTCAGTGCAAGGAATTGTTCATAAAGACTTGAGTTAATGGAAACAAAGTAGAAGCCACATTAGAAATGATTTGGCCTTTAGTCTTCATCTCTTATTCCACATTATTATTTAAACAATGTTATCTGTAAATTTATTTTTACTTTTTCAGGTCCTTGTTAAAGGAGTTGTGCTTAAATATCATTTTATTTTCATGCACTAAAAAGCCTTATTAGGGGCCGGCCTGGTGGTGCAGCCGTTAAGTGCACACGTTGCACTTCAGCGGCCCGGGTTTCACTGGTTCAGATCCTGGGTGCAGACATGGCACCCGCTTGGCACGCCATGCTGTGGTAGGCGTCCCATATATAAAGTAGAGGAAGATGGGCATGGATGTTAGCTCAGGGCCAGTCTTCCTCAGTGAAAAGAGGAAGATTGGCAGCAGATGTCAGCTCAGGGCTAATCTTCCTTAAAAGAAAAGCCTTATTAGTCATCTGTATTTTCCTATTTTTTTTCATCTGGCTTTATGTAACTTTTATGGTAATTTCTAATATACGTAAATGCTGCCCCCCATTCTTTCCTATAAAATTGTTATATTATCTTATAGGTAGAAAATAAATTACTTTAATTTTAGGTTCTGTGGCCAACTTATGTGGTAAGGGAGTATCTTAAAGTGAATTTTAATCAAATGTTTTTGAGTATATTTGTTGAACTTTGAAACCAAAAAATAATTCAGTTTTTAGATACAGACTCCTCACTAGCTGAGAAGCTTTAGATAATGTTCTGAATATCTTTGCAACTTTTTTCTCATTTGTAAAATAAACACAGTAGTATTTATATGACTATTATGCAATTAAAAAAATTGCAGAGTAGCCAAAGTGCCAGGTAAATAAATACTTATTACCCTCTTTTTAGAATCACCTAAATTTCATTTTTACTTGTTTCCTTGTGAATATCATAAGTAATTACATTCTTTGATAAGGTTTTCTACACATTATCTGTGAAAAACATTTTATACAATCACTATTTGACAAGCTAATTATTTCTGCTGATGTGTTCTGATAGCAAATAAGTTCTAGAGGTTATTTCTTCTATGGTGCTTTTCATTATTTCAAATTCCGTATGTATTTTGATAAATTATAACCTTAAAACAATGAGCCAATAACCAAAAATAGAATGTTAGGGGCTGGCCCCATGGACGAGTGGTTAAGTTCACTCATTCCACTTCAGCTGCTCAGGGTTTCGCTGGTTCTGATTCTGGGCGTGGACATGGCACCGCTCATCAGGCCATGCTGAGGTCGCGTCCCAGATGGCACAACCAGAGGTACTCACGACTTGAATATACAACTATGTACTGGGAGGTTTTGGGGAGAAGAAGGAGAAAAAAAAAAAGAAGATTGGAACAGTTGTTAGCTCAGGTGCCAATCTTTAAAAAAAAAAAATAGAATGTTGATATTTATCCAGCAAGTTGATAGATACAAATGCAAATAATGCTAGAAAACACTCATCTAACTTATAGTTGTCATTATTATTATTGTCACACCCCCTTTTAATATTAAGCACTTTTATCAAAATAATATACCGAAAGAACTTACTCTAGTGTGATATAAATAAGAGAACATGAGAAGCTATCTAACTCATGCAAACTTTAATTCTCTACATCTGTAAAATGGGGATTAAAAAATTCCTAACAGAATATTGTGAAGATTAACTTTTTAGTATATCTAAGTATGTTGCTCATTGACGGACATGTAGAAGATGCTCAGTAGTGTGGAAATAAACGAAGACCAACCAAATGAGAACAGCAAAGGCTATTTATTCAGAGCTCGCTATAGCAAGGGAGTCAGCCACTGTCACTTGTGTTTTGACAAAGACTCAAAGGCGGACAGAGGAGTGGGAAAGCTGTCGAGTGGAGAATAGGGGCAGCTGCAGGTCTGCTGAGATTGCAGACTGCTGGCATGGGGAAGCTGCGATCGGGCTGACTAGAAGTGGGGCTTCCTATGTGGCTGGTTATGGTGCATAGTTGGCTTTCTCTGGTTGGCCCTAAGTTGAAAGTGAGGATAAAAATCAGGGAAGCTGTCAGTTATTAATCAAGTCCTGGCCATTTGGCGCCGATCATTACAGAAGTTATTGTTTAGCTTCCTGGATTGCTACTAGAGATGGCACTCTGGCCTCCTGCAAGTCTGACATACTTGCACTGTGTGTTTCCTGGGCTGTGTACTGTATATATGGTTTCCTGCACAGGTTGCTGTGAGTTGTGGCTTTGACATCTATTTTTATATGATCTGGCCTTTGTCTGTTTGTATAGTCAGTCTATCAGTAGGTTTGAGGATCCATTGCCGCCTTTCTTCTCTCTTGATATATTTATTTAAATGCATACTACCTGATATTTTCAATTAAATATTCAGTACTGTTTTGGAAATTCTGCATAGATTTTTTCTCTGTTAATGTGGACTAGCTTTGTCTCTTTTTTTGGAGTCACGTAAATTTATGTTTGTTTGGTATAATCAATTTATATTAAATGAAACATCAATGAGTAAAAACGGCTAAAAAATGATGTGGCTTAAGATATTTTAGCTTTAATGATATTAGAAAATTTAGTTCAATGTAGAGGTATTTTTACAGAGGAAGACATAGTTTCAATTGTAGGATCATTCATTCATTTGTGGTGAGTAGATTTAAAGAATAAGTGCTCCACTTCATTTTAAAACATCTCAATGGACTCTCAATCATCCAGGCCAGAGGAATCGTAGCAGCTGCGCATTGGTGGAGCAGGTGATCCACAAGGGATCTATCACTACAATTTAAACCTTTCTCACTTCTTTCCAATCTACTAAGAAATAACTATATTAACAGATTTGCATTTTCCTCCTCTTTTTGTCCTTTCTCTCCTAGGATGGGTATGCAAATGAATTGAAAAACTGGACAAAATGTAGGCAAGACAGGTGAAAGTTGAAGAAAAATAAAGGAATTTGATATCTTAAAAATCTGATCAGTTCCTAAGTAATTGAATATAAGCTTAATAGTTGACTGCTGAGAAAGTACGATTCTATATCCTTTTGTTTGCACCGCTTTTGCTTTGCCTTCAGATTAGACTTCATAACTTTGATAAAGATATTTTAATAAGGCAGTCACACACATTGTAGCAACTCT